ACTTACCACCAGGGAATTCTAAATGATGGAACGGAACAACGTGTTTGTTGTTCGCCCCCTATGAGCCTCCATGTCGGCCTCGAAATGGAGTCTCGCTCACTGCGTTGGCAACGTGGGGGTCCTGCAGAATAGAATCATTGACCCTGATCACTCGGTTCATATGATCAGTGGCCCGAGGATTTCACTCTGCAGCTTCTACCGTCTGCGAAGGAGGAGGTGGAGTCTATCTCTGATGTTGTTGCCACTGCTGTTGTTGCTATTGAGGTGAAGGGGGTAACCCACGGCCCCTCCCGCTTGGCTGTTGAGAGAAAGGGGCCCTGGATCCCCTTGCCCGGGCCGTCGTGCCTTTGCTTGGTCCTCCTCTCCTCCTCGACTTGAGGATCTCGGTCCCGTACTTGACCCCAACCAGCGGCCCTCAAAGGAGGGGTTAGTGCTAGTACCTATTGATGGGGCGCTACTGGTTGACCCCTGTCCTCTCCCGGTGGCAAGGGCCTGCCTCTGCCTCAAGAATCCCAGATCTATGCGGGGCGTGCGGGACATGGCTACCTCAAAGGCGTCCTCTGCGTCTAGAGATTGAAGGATGCGAAATTCAGGCCACGAATCTCTCCCAGAAGCCCCCACCTCGGTGTGTGAAGGAATCAAAGCCTCTCTGGCCCCGAACTCCTCAACTTCAAGTGCACCCTCTACTTCCTCCTCAGTAGCCCTGTTGGGGTCCTCCTCCAAGTTCTGCTCGGCCTCTTGTTACATTGTCTGATCCAAAAGTTCAGACCACTGCAAAAGATCGAAAGGCTGGGGGAGTTGTGAGAACTTTTTGTATCCCGCTGAGTAGTTCAGAAGAATATGAGCAGCCCGGCCGAACCCATCATCGCCAACAAATCTCCAAATAATGACGAGATTAGCAAAGTTCACCAAGGACCGAGGCTAAGGAGCAACTTCCCGGACGGAGACGTTTGCATAAGAAAGAAGGTTATTAACACTTCTAACAAATTTTAAGGACAAAAACAGTAGACTCGGAGAAGCCGACATACTTGTCGTTCTCCATTCAAAAGGGCACATCAGACCATTGTATTCGGGACCGGTCCCCCACTGCTAGGATCCACTGAAGATTAGAAGGTCATTCTTGTATCCTTTGTCCGAGTCAAGGAGGTGAGTTACAAGGTACATGGAGGGATCCCTGGCTTTGAGGTAGAAATTCTGCTGAGGCATGACCCTCAATAGGGAGTAGCAAAAAAGGATATCGTTGAGCCCAACGTTTATCCTGAGACGGTTGTTAAGCTCTAAGACCCCCATTATTATCCTAAATACGTTAAGGCAATACTGCCCCGAGAAGAGTTTGAAACGGGCGAGGAACTAGAGGAGTAGAGGAGGCAAGGGGAACCTAATTTCACCCTCTATGATTGCCTTGGTGAAAAAAGACATCTCATTCTCGGCCCCGAGAGTACGGTTATGCAAAACTGGGTCGTACTCATCTATACCTACATTTGGGGGAATGCGGTATCGGGCCCTAAACTTATTGATTAGCTCGTCTCCCTTCACTTTGTACTTCCCTGACATGGGGATCCTCGGTGACAGGGCGACATCGGGGCATCTCCAAAGAAGATAAAAACTAAAGATGAAGGAAAAATATTTTCTACGAAGATTCCCTAGGGGTTTCCTGGGGGTTGGTCACATAATGCCAACCAGCAACACCTCCGGTTATCGGGGAATAAAAAACAAACTCAGAAAGACGGAAAGAAGGAAGATATAAGGACTCACCAGAACGCGAACGAAGGTTTTTGAAGGGCTCAGAGTGGTTCCTTTCTCTAGAAGGTTCAGAAGCAAGAAGGTGTTTGCTGGTCTAAACTCCGGTGACGACTGACTGGTTGACGACGTGACTAAAGGGGTCTCTGGCGAAGTTTTCAAGCGAAAGTTATTTGAGTTCGAAATGGAAAAAGTATGGGAAAGAGAGAGAGAGCCCGTTGATATAATACTCATCCCCATCATTATGTACGAAGCACAAAGAGGCGCATTTAATGCGCACGACCTCCTAAGCAGCAGAAAATGGCTAAAAGTAATGATGGACTGGTTGGGGCAGTTGTAGGACCCTTCGTCTCCTTACAATGCGTGTCCTTGGCGTCAGAAGATCGAAGGCTGAGGGGTAGTTGATGAGACATTTTCAGACACTCCCAGATGAAGACATGTGTACTCAACGTCAATAGAGACACTTGCTCTAATACTGACACGTCTTTGTCGATTTCCAAACCCTCTGCCCTGAGGATGCTATTCATAGGGATCAAGGATCCCAAAACTACCATAGACCGACACGTATTCCTCGGCAGTTTGGGTATATCGGTCCTAGATCTTGCTAGTCTCTCGACACCGAGGGGTATCTATCGCATCGGCGTTTCTGCACCTGCAGGGGCTATTGATGGACAAATCACTAGCCTAGGCAAGACTAGACTATCCATTATGACCTCGTCTTACTCAAATGGTGTCAGGAGGCACAAGAAAGCAGAAGGCTCAACCAAAGGGGAATGGGCACGTGGCGTATTGTGTCAGTTCAGAGACAAAAAGACCAGAATGCCCTTGTTAACACACGACTTGGGAAAGCAAGTATTTAATGCACCTTTCCCTTGATGAGACAACATTTAATGCATGAGAGCTCGGAAGTGAAAGGTAATAAATGTCTGAAAACCTGGGCATTTAATACACCCCCGCCGAGAGAAGATCATTAAACGTTCGGCAGACCGAGGATAAAGCATTAGTTACTCAGGGTCCCGAGCAGTAAAGAATAAGATCATTACTCATAGAAATTGGTGTGCACGCTGCCCACCCCCAATGATTACCTACTAGCTACGCTGTCAGCAATGATGAGTTTTCAAGTTATAAATAGTCCTTACAAACACAGAAAAGGAGTATGCAACTAACCCTCTCTCAACCATCATATAGTGTTTTCTTCTTCTCCTTTCTCAAAGAACTGACTTGATCATCGGAGGGAATACACTGAAAAACACTCAGGCGATTCATACCAACGATTGATTATCCACCTTCGACCCTCACAACCTGTTCAACTAGCAAGATCAGCCACCCAATTTCGGACACGTGTTTACCACGGAAGAGATTTATTATAGTGTTTATATTGTGCAGGATCTTGCACCCACACAACCTATTTTCATATATTTTGTAAACCTCATTTAGGTGTGAGAAAGTTTTTCTATTGGACTTGTTTGCTCACTCTAATTTCTTACATTTTTTAAATGTTGGGTTTAAAGAAGATGCTAATTTAGGTGAGGATGATGACTATGAGTTGAAAGTGGATCAGGATGTGAATTCAGCTTTGGAGACATAGAGAGAGTTGTTCTACTGGTCTTTAGTTTATAAGTTTGTTGACGAGAACGGTATCTTTGCTTATTAGTTTATTTGGGATATTAATTATTTAAGATTTTAATTTATAATCAACAGTTTGCTAAACATTTTGAGGTTTTGGTTGTAACCTTAAGAATTTATTTAGGTTTCTTTTGGAATTTTAGTTTATTAGATGACAAATAATGTTTAGTTTGTTTTAAATTAATGTTATTTAGTATGGGGTGAATGATAGTTAGTTCATGACTGATCATGAAAATTGAGGTATATCATTGTCAGTCTCAAGTAGGACTCTAAAGGTTTAGTTTCTCCTAACAGACCTTCTAGTTTATGACTTGCTGCCCATTTGTTGTGCTTGATTATGATCCAAAAAAATTCCTAAGGTAGAAGAAGTTGATGTTATAGAGCAATATATGAGACGATGAGAAATGTGAATTAGTTGCTAAATGACCAAAATTATGTGTGAGTGCACAAGGTGCACCACATTTTGACCCTCTTGTGATCGCAACACCTACGATGACCTAATTGTGATTAATGTCCTATAAGACAACCTATTCTACCTTAATATATGTGTTATAAATATCTTTATCATTTATCTCTCCAACAAACACCGATATGTTTGATATAGACAATCCGATTGTTGTTAGAACATTTTTTTAACTCCACCTACTTAAGAAATCTTACTGTAATTTTACATTTTTAAGATATAACCTTTGCTTTAAAAATAGTTACTTTAATTATTTTGTTCAGTACCTTAGACTTTCTCAAAAATTATAGCTCGACTGCATAGTACCAAAATTTCGTACCATTTATCCTCACTGGGTCGAATAATTGTACTAACAAACTAGATTTTCCAATAAAACCCAAGGTTTCTGACCAAAAAAAAAACAAAAAACTCAAGTTAACTATCAAAAAAAAAAAAGAAATAAAACTCAAGCCTAGGCAGCTGATTACCAAATGAATTGGTGCCACCTAAGTACAGATAATCTTTCCCAACAACAAACAAATTACTGGAATTAAAAAAAAAATGAAAAGCGGAGATATTTAGCTTCATCAATTGCAAAATTAAATCTTCTTAATGAAATTTTATAGAATGGGTTACTGTGGCTCAATTGCCAGGGGATTCTTAGTTTCTTACTAAAAAATATCTCTCCAAAGATTCAATCTTGCGAGCTATGCAAGCCCATAACACCGTTTCAACTGTTCAATTTGGAAGTATGCTCCCTTCAATAATAGGCATTGGCTTATTGAATTTAGTAGATCTCAGCCTATACCCACTTTGGTGAGATATCCTAAAACTGATTACCTTTCTTCATCTGTTTGTATCCAATTTTTGTTGTGGTGATTGTTCTTGTTATCGGTTGAAAGATTGTTTTTCCCCCCCTCTTTTTTGTGGTTTCCTGGGTTACCCATCTTCTAGATTTGTTTGAAATTTATAGTTACACATTAGTTGTGATTGAAATTAAAGTGGTTTGAGTTTGTGGGTGTTGTTTTTTATGATCTACCAATCAATTTAATTGGTTTTTAGGGTTGGGTTTGCTGTCGTTTATGAATGTTGTCATTAGAGTTAAGGTTTTGTCTTCATTAGTTTTCTATTCTCAGCTTTGTGTATCTCTCTTGCTTTGGTAAGAAATATTGGGCGGTGGGTTCAATTGGTTATGGATTACAGTCGAGAAACCAGGTTTTCCAGTGGAGACGTTGTGCAGGTAATCACTGGAACCCCACGAAATGGTGGTGTTGAGAATTGGGTTCCGGGGTTGGCTGACCAGGCAGTCTGGGCAAGTGAGGAGGATTATCGGGTTTGGAATAGGGAGAATTCTGTTGATACTACCTCCAATTCGAATTATGATGGAAGGCAATCCCAAACAAGGTCTGGAAGCGAGCCACCCAACAAGAAATCGAGAAATGCCCAATCGGGGGATTTGGCGTCTACTAATAGATCGAAAGCAATAGGAAAGATGTTCTTTAAGACCAAACTATGCTGTAAATTCCGAGCAGGGACTTGCCCTTATATCACCAACTGCAATTTTGCTCATAGTATTGAAGAACTTCGAAGGCCTCCTCCTAATTGGCAAGAAATTGTGGCTGCTCATGAGGAAGAACTACCAGAGTCAATTGAGCTGAGGGAAGAGTTTCAGATTCCATCAGTTGGGTCTGATTTTGTCGGCGAGACTCAGAGGTCTTATAAAGGGCGACATTGCAAGAAGTTCTATACTGACGAGGGCTGTCCATATGGAGATAGCTGTGCTTTTCTTCATGATGAGCACTCCAGAACTCGGGAAAGTGTGGCAATAAGTTTGGGTCCGGGGCCAGGTGGTGGGCACGGTGGTGGTGGTGGTGGTGGTGGGAGTGGAACAACCCTGAAGCCTTCGAATTGGAAAACAAGGATTTGTAACAAATGGGAGTTGACAGGGTATTGTCCATTTGGAAGCAAATGCCATTTTGCTCACGGGGTTGAAGGTACGGTTTTCTAGTCCCCGTTCCATTTAAGCATTATCTTGATCTGTGTTGAGTAGGCCTTTAAGTTATAAAGAAAAATACATTATCTCTGTCGTGTTATTGTTTTTTCCCGTGTCTGAAATGCATTGTTGTAGTCATTTGACTGGCTTTAAGTTCCGTTTCCAAAAGTCAGGTCTGAGATAGTGAGATGTGATCATAATTGAATGCCACAATGTACCAAGTGATAGATGCCGTTGGACATGCGACTTATGCCTGGAGATGTATTATTTGAGGTGTTATACCTCTTAAACAGTTTGTTTTTCTTTTTCGGTTTAGTTGTTTGAACAAAAAAATAATAATAATAATAATAATCAAAAAATATGTGCCTCATTGGTCAAGCACTCCTTCTTGTTGTTTGTTGAATTCAGAGTGAAGCTTAAGCCGTATTTACTTTTTAGGCTTAAAAAGGTTGTCTTCTACTAAAACTCATGATTAATGAAGACAATTAATCTGTGGATACACTATAGTCTGTTTTTCTGAAGACCAATATAGGTGCATACAATCTGTGGTTTAGGTGTTTGAGAAACACATGTTCCTGATGTTCAAGCTGCATAAGGTTTCAAGCAAGTACGTGCCTTTCCTCAGGCCTTAGTAATTCAGAGCATAGATCTCATAGTTTTCAAATGATCTGGTTGGCATGGCTTTCAAGCCGTTGCACCATTGAGTAGGCACTTTCCTGATAAATGGTCCAACTTAGGTTGAATCTGGTTGGCATTACTTCTGTGTTCAATCTTGATCTCACATTTTTTTGATTTATTACTTTATCAGTTATTATTGAAAATCTCTCACAGAACTGCATCGTTTTGGTGGGGGGCTGGCAGAGGTGGAAGCTAAAGATTCTCCTACGCCTCTGGACCCAAAGCAGGGGGCAGTGCCTTCAAAAACTTCAGCTGATACGGCAGTTGCATCTATGACTTCAGTTCCTCATTCTGATGGCTATCCTAATGGGGTTCCATCACATAGGTTGTCCAATGCAATCCAGAAGGTAGGGCAGAGACCCCATCAGAAATGGAAGGGCCCAGACAAAATTAGTAAAATATATGGTGACTGGATTGACGACATTGAGTAGAATACATAAGTTCCTTCCTGCACACATTGAATCAAATTGGAGAACTTAACGTCCAGTGAAATAAGTTTTAGCGATTCCACTTGTAACAGAGGCGACTTTGTAGATTTAGGATTTGTATCGAGAGAAGCTGTTTTGGCTTTTGTTTTTAAGTTTTTGAACAAGATGTTGCCTTGTAGGGTCTGAGGCTGTGTACTGATGTAGGAACACCTCTCTTTTGCAGGTTTGGAATTTTTGTGGCTTCAGTTTTGCTTATGTAATCTTTTCTGTTTTATGAAATATAAGATCAACATGCCTCTTTTTATTTGTTGCGCTGGTTTTAATTTTGTTTTTTTTTTCATTGGCATTGTTTCTAATGCTTTATTTTTTATCTTTTTCCTGGAAATTCCATCCTGTGAGTTAGACTGTTTGCTCTGCATTTAAATCTAAGGGTCTGTTATGTGGAGACTCGAGTTATTTGTTGCTGATATTCTGCCATTGCTGCACTTCATTTCTTCGGTCTATCTCCCTGCCCTTGAATAATGCCCATCTCTCTATTTCCTCAAAGTGCTATTTTCTATTATGTGTAGAACTTAGATCAGATTGAATTTCTGAAGAAAACTAGATTATTCTTTGAAGTTTATTTGGTTTGTCTTACCTCCTTTAGGGAAAATGAAAAGCATATTCTTGAACTACTGTGACGCCCAATTCCGAAGGAAGCTCTTACCTAGTGCGGTCTTCGTAATTTCTTTCCAAGAATTGATTAGGTAGATAGGTAGTTGTTTCAATGAAGCCTCATTTCTGATCTTAGTTATCTTCCATGAGATCTTCTCTGGTCCCTTCGCCCCTGTGCTGCCACCGCATGTATCTTAACATCATACAAGAATCATATCTAAGTCTACTCCGATCGTCCTCTCGCAGCCACCTTCCCCCACTTTGCAGCCATTCTCCCTCCTCTAAAAAAAAAAAAATCGCAGAGTCCCTCCTCCTTCGCGCGGGGGCTTCTGGGGCCGCAATCACTACAAGGAAATTAGGTTTTTCCAGCATTTATTAGCAGACGATTATAGAAAATGCCGGTGTAGTGTTAATTAACCGGCTTTTTGTTTCAAACATCATCTTAAATACAAGCAATTGTTGGCGTCTCAAATAAATGCTAGTTGAATGCACACGACTTTCTTCTAATTCATAAAGGAATTCTCCAAATCACTAACACATTTCCCTCATCTCTCTTCACTGTCTCTCACTTTCTCACACTACAAACTGTAAAGAAAATGGACGAGGAAGAGGCCGACACACACAATCAAGTGAGGAGGAGCATAAAAAGAGATCCATATTCTAATTTCTCCCATGTCCTCATCACCGGTTCACCCCTCTCTCTCTCTCTCTCTCTATTAACTTTCTGTCTATGTTTTTCCTTACTAGTTTTGAAGTCGAAATCATACCGATCCCACTTATCTGTCATAATAGGAAAAAAATCGTAATTCAACTCCACTTGTTTACATACATAAGATCTCTTTCATAGGTATGAATAGGTTTGTTCATCTTTTATGTCTTTAATTGCAGAAAATTGATATATATTGTATCTAGTTTCACAATAATTTCGTCTCTGAGTGGATTGAGATTTTGACCAATTTTCATGATATATATTTTGTTTTCTCACATCTGACATTATTTTTCTTTGGAAATTGGTGATTTAACATGATGATATCGGGTGGAATGATAGTGTAAGTCAACTAATTAGACGTATTGATGTCTAAATATACCTCTTGTACTGGATATAATCTTTACTAGTGTTATTCCTCATGCACTCTCTTTTTTTCCCCTTAATATATTAATGATTGTGCTGATCTTTATGCTTAATCAGTGCCTCATGAATCTTGGATTATGCAGGATAAAGTATGAAGAAATGTTATTTGCTCAAACTTTTTTCTGCATTCTAATATTTTGTTAGTTCAAATCTCCTTAGGATTTGACATTTTTCGATTTCATTATTTCCTAACTGGATGCCAATGTTCGATGGGTTTAGAGCTGGTTTTGGTTGGGGGCCCTGACCTTGTTTCATGTTTTTTAAGCCATTTCGTGTAATGGACTCATCTCCGCAACTTAGAGGTAGATATGAAATAATGTCATCTCAATAAGAGCTTTTTGTTAGATCTATGCATTTGATGAATGCTTATGCAACAACCTTATTACGTTGAACTATTGTATTGACACTTCTAAGCCATGGACCATCTTATCCAAAGGGCTATTGTTCTTTTGTTTTATGTATTTGTAGAAGGTTTGTATTCAGGTAAACTTTAATTAATTTCTGGTTTTTGTGCATGTGTTCTGTTAACTTTGATGGTTTAATTGTGAGGATGTAGGTTGATGATGCTCCCATTGTAGTACCAGTAACAGAAACCATGAAGAAAGGTTTATTCTTTTTTGTGCCTCTAGAATCCTTATTTGCCATCCAAAGACTATCATTTCTTCTTGTGATTTATCATTACAATTTAGTTGAATTGAAATCGGTTTTTGGTTGAAATGCATTGAAATAAATGTTAATCTTTGACACATCTGACCGAACTAGACCTTAAAGATCGTGAGGTAATTCTCATTGATAAATATTAAATGAAGGTCAACCAATCCAAGAGAGTGAACATAAAAGAAACTACTTGCTGTTATATCTTTGATTTCCATTGATATTTAACCGATGTTATGCTTATTCGCCGGGTAAAGAGCCGGTGGATATTTACTGGTGTTTGCTTAATCACTAGGAGTTTTTCCGATGTTGATATAGGTGGCATTATATTCAAACCTCGATTGAACGCCAAAAAATATAATTCCAGGCGTTTATTTCACCTTTGTCATCAGGACCACTACTGGTCAATTGGCCATCCTCCTCTCTCTACAAATATTTCTGTTTCTTTCTAAATAAATAGTGTGGTTGTCTGAGTTGAGGTTTTGATCAATGTTGTTTGGGAGAGACAAAGTTGTGTCTGCTAATAGGTTCTCTCTGTTAAAGAGATGCAAAATCCCTAATCTTCCTCACAAGGACTCGCTCAATGACTCTGTTCCTGACCATAGATGAGAAACCAACTTGGCCACATCACCATACCATATTAAGCCACCACGTCCATTTACTGTGCTTACAAACACATTGCATACACTCCCTTTTTTTCTCATTCTAATGCTTCAAACCAGCCAACAATAACAAAAATCTAATGAACTAAATATCACATTCTTTCTCTATTTCATTCCTTTGGTCTTTCTCTCAACCGTCCACAAAAAGTACCGAGGCCGGATCAGACAATCTCCGGCCAACCTACAAAGTTTTTGCCTTCTTTTTCCGGCAATGTCGTTGGATCATGCCCAACACCCACCACCCCCACAATCTTACTCCTCCCCACCGGTGACCATAATCCTAACTGTCATTCTCCTGGTGTTTTTCTTCGTTGGTTTCTTCTCCATATACTTCTGCAGGTGTATCATGCAAAATATAATCTACACGTGGCATTTCCGACATAGCCCTTCTGGCACTCCCGTCGGTCCCGCAGGCTCTACCGTAGCTCGTGGACTTGATCCTTCAATCATACAGTCTTTTCCCACATTCCCATATTCCAGTGTTAAAGATTTTCGAAGGGAGAAGTATGGCTTAGAATGTGCCATTTGCTTGTGTGAGTTTGAAGACCATAATATTCTCCGACTTGTGACATCATGTTGCCATGTATTTCATGAAGAGTGTATTGATCTTTGGCTTGAATGTCATAAAACATGTCCGGTGTGTCGTATGAGCCTCGACGTTCCTGTAAAATCGCCTGAGAAGTCTCCGGTGTCTCGTAGCAGTACCATGCATGAGATAAACGAAAACCATTCATTAGAAGATACTTTTAGCATCGTGATCAACGATGATCGTGATGAAAACAAGAGAGCTGGCGATGTCAAGGGAGATATAGCGGCGGCTCCTAGCACGGCCGTCCACGTTGAAGGATACGATAAGGTTGAAAAGTTTTCGAGGTCACACTCGACCGGGCATTCGATAGCTAGGGTTAAAGAAGAAGAAAAAGAGGATAGATTTACATTACGAATACCAGAAAATGTGAAAGAAAAACTTATAAGGGGACATAATTGGACGAAAAGTTGTACCACTTTCGGAGAATACCAAAGCAAAATGTCCACCGGCAATGGTGGCTTCGGAGAGGTATCTGGATTATCGGTCGGAGACACGAACAATGTATAAGTTTTTTTTTTCTGTAATTATCTCTCTTCTTCCTAGGTTAGAATATACTAGATGTTTTCATTTTTGCAACTATTGATGATCCTACATTACTTGGGAACATGATTTAATGTTCCAAAGTTCTCAAAAAATGTGTTATAATCCATATTTCGATTAGATTCTAATGGGTTATATATTCGGGTAAAACCGCACATCTATACTATTAATAAATAGGAGAGAGTGGGTTTAGTTATTGATAGTTTATTATAATTCTATTATTAATATCTTCTTTTTTTTTTTTTCGTTTAACTACATATAACTGCTGATTTAATCCTATTTAACAACCTTAATTTATCTATTCTATTTCCTTTTACTTTCATACTATTTGCACACAGATACCGTGCGTGCACAACCCATAGTATAAGAACGGTTTTTTTCTTTTACTTATTTTCCTAATTTCAATTGCTTTTTATATCTATATAATAAAATAGCTTATAATTCAAATTTTAAAAGATAAACAAAATGATTTTTATTTTTTGTGGTTGACATCGCTTTAAATTTTATTTTAAAGTTAATCTAACGGCTAATGTTAACATCCTAAATTTAATAGAAAAAATAGACTCCTAAGAGTGTGTTTGAAGTGATTTTTTAAACTACTTTTAAAAATTATTTCTCATAAATACTTTAAAAAAAATAGTATTTGAAACCATCTTACCACTATCTCTATCACTACCACCGCCACCACTATCGTCGTCGTCGTCGCCGCCGCCACCACCACCATCGTCATCGCTGCCACCACCGTCACTATCACCACCACCACCACCACCATTGTCATCGTCGCCATTACCACCACTATCACTACCACCACCACCATTGTCTTCGCTGCCATCATCGCCAGCGCCACTATCACAATCACCACCACCACCATTGTTGTCGCCTCCACCACCCCCACCCCCAACACGGCCACTGTCGTCAGCACCACCCCCACCACTGCCACCACCCCCATCATCGTCGTCGCCGTCACCACCACCATCGCCACCGCCATCGCTACTGCCACCATCATCGCCACCGCCACCACTACTGTAGCCGCACCGCCACTACCACCATTGTCGTCTACCACCTCTCATCCCATTATAAACCAATATTTAAATTCTTTTATCTCTTTTTTATGTTTATGATTTGATTTTGAATATAAATACAAATATGTTTATTATATACCATTTTTTATTATTTTGTGTATTCGGGCACAGATAGTAACTAGAAATATTATAAAGTAACATTTGATTCCTTAATTCATGACTATCTTGTCAGATGAAGAACTAATTTATAGTCTTTATTTTTATTTTAAATTCGTTAAGGCTAATAGTAAAGTTTTTTGATGTATTACCATTTTCAACTACAATTATACAGTTAAAATCATGCAGGAAAATGTTCTTTGCAATAAACTTGAGTATTGGTATCGCGAAATCATGCATGAAAATGTTCTTTGCAGTAAACTTGAGTATTGCTATCGCGTTTGTTACTCTCTTGAAGTCAAGCAATGAGAGATTTATGTTTTATAAATTTTTTAGTTTTGACATGAATGACTTGTTTTGACCAAATCGGAGAGAAAATTAGTCAAACTGTGTATAAGTTAGCTTAAACACCCAAACTATAATATTAAATCTATCTATATTTATATCTATTTGTCTATCTATCTATACTACTATAAAATGTTAACAAAAGTGAAATTTTTTTGATTAACTATACTAACCTTAATAATCTAATTAATGCCCATTTTATTCTTTTAGACATGTGACTTTCAACTTTTTCCGAATGCCTATACATGTTAAAATCTATGTCCTTTAATTGACTTAAATATTTACATAAATTCTCATAATGCCCCTCACGTGCTGTTTTTTGTTAGTTTTTTAGACGATAATTAGTGCTATAGGGACAAAATTGGTCATGTGAAAGTTGGGGACTAAATTGACGAAATTAAAATTTTAAGGACGAAAGTTCCACAAATGATAAACCTCAAGGGTCAATGGTGCAATTTATCCAAATTTCCAATCTATATTCAATTCATTTATAATCGAGCTTAATCAAATTTGTGTCGAAATGGATTGTGTGTTAGTCTCATTTACCCCAAATTCCTATCAGCCTATTTAACTTGAAGGACTTGATGTGCACACTTATTTACCACCCGAATTTACTATTAACCACTAGAATCGTATTAGTGTGTTAAATTGGGTTTAAGAAACATCATTATTTCTTTGCATAGTTTTCATTTTCATATTGCAGACTTGTATATCACGTTGCCAATTCCAAAGGAGGCTGCAGCCATTATCCCAGTAGCTTGTGTGTGTGTGTGTGTGTGTTTTTTTTTTGGGGGGGGGGGGGGGGGGGTTTGGT